TTTATGTATACAAAATAAAGTTTGTGTCCATGCTCATTTACGTACGACTGCGGGTTTATCGCAATGAACCTTAGGGATAGAGCAATAGGCAGAGGAAGCGCACAAGAGTGAGGAGTGTAGAGCATAGGGAAGAGATGTGAAGGGGCGTTTGTGTGGAGGAGAAAATTGGGTGACTGTGTGCCTGAGTAAGGCAAAGAAGGGGAAAAAGTAAGCCTCACTGAAGCAGTTAAACGGGAGACGGCGAAAAGGAGTGAGTGGGCAAAAGGAAACAAGTGCTTACAGATACACGTGCAATCCAGAACGGTTGCGATCGGCCTGACTTGGATATGTGGACTCGGGCAACTGTCAGTGAATGGCAGGTTGAGGCATGGGCGAAGTGAGCACGAAAGTGAGTAAAAGAGGAAACCAATCGCTGTCGGGTCGACGCTAACAAAATGGTGAACAGACAAACATTGATACAGACCTGCATGCACACGTTGGCTAGTCAAGAAAATGGCTCATCCATCGGCCCACAGGAAGTTCCGCAAAGCCAAAGGTTGCAGGAAGTTGTAAAACATCCAACTCCAACAGCCACCCTCCTTTGGCTGACTCGAGGTTCAGCTTGAAGCCATCGGAGACCGACCGGCAAACACGACATAAACTCAGACGGGGCAAACAAGAACTGGCTCAGGAAGTGTTCCTTGCCAATGCCTCCGACCAGTGTGCCATATCGGCAATCTGCAAGAGAAGCTATCAAACGACCAAGCCCGTGCAGGCGGAGCCACTTCGCCGGTCGTGCAGGCTCTCAATTGCAACCTAATCGTGCCAACATGTCTGTCTCGCAGGCTCCGACCCGACGCCAGATTCGGTGCCGGTGGATACCAATTCGTCTATTGGTAGACTCATCCCTCGCTCAAAGGACTCCGTGTGTGTGTGTGTGTGTGTATGTGTGTGCGTGTGTGTGTAAAGTCCAGTAGGCGACTTGGTTACTTATAACAGACAACTTTTATTATCTGATTTGCCCTGCTCCCTTCAATCTGCCTAAAAGTCGGCCTACTCTAATCCTCTTGAAAGGTGGAATGAAACCCTAAGACTATGGCACCTAAAATGTGGATCCTGGATGTGACAGCTACAGCGCCATTTTGAGCACAGATATGTGCTATTTTATGAACTGAACAGGATAACCGAGGCGAACTCAGGAGATCATTTTGAGAAATGGTAGGAAACCCTACAAAGGCACATTTGCATTGGATTCTTGGTTTGATACGGAAGAGAGAATTGACAACAAATTTGAGAAAAGTCCCTCAAGGTTAAATACAATAAAAGTAATTTCTTGTGATCATATAGCTTTAGCCTGTTCAGGAAAGCCATAAAATATCAAATAAATTGGCAAAGTATAGACAATTTTATCCTTAACAAAAGATTTCTGTGAATTAGATAATTGAATTTATGTGAAACACATAGACAAAAAACTAGATAGATGCTTGGAATAGAAGCGAGAAATGTCCCAAGTTTAGGCAAAAGCGAGCTGCCGAAAATCCAATTTTCTAAGTTTTCAATCAGTCTAGGTCATCTCGACAAAATTAAGTTGGACGAGGTTATAGTTGCTTGCATACTTTGCCAATAATGAAGGGGACTGTAGATCGCAAATTTTTATGTGTAAGCAATGGGAAAATTTCATAGAAAATTTATTTGGAATATGCATAACAAACGCAGGCTTTATTCTAGTCTTGGTTGCAGGCTGGAAATAATCTCGGTATCATCATCATAC